AGCACAGGCACGGGGAGTAGGAGAGGGAGAAGCAGGCTCCCTGCTGAGCAGGGAGCCCAATGTGGGGCTTGATCCCAGGACCCTGGGATCACGCCCTGAGCTGGCGCCAGACACTCAAACGACTGAGCCACTCAGGCGCCCCTCTTTGTCCATTTTTAAAATGAGTTTTTGATGCTATTGTTTGTAGGAGCTCTTTTTATTTTAGGGAGATAAGCCTTGTTTTTTGATTTGCAAAACATGCTTTCTTGGTTGGTAGTTTGACTTCTGACTTAGTCATGTAGAAGTATTTGATTTTTATGTGGTTATATTTCTCAATTTTGTTTTTCTTTCATGGCTCCTGAATTTTTAGTTAAACTTTATGAAGGCTTACCCCAACTCAAGGTTATAAAAGAATTCATCCGTGTTTACTGTGTGGCTTTATTTAACTCTGATGCATTGGAACATATTATGAGTACAGTGCAAGGAATGGAGCTAATTTTATTTTAGTCCCCAGTGTTAGTTTTCACATCACCATTGCTTTGATATTATTTGTAACAGTACATTATTCTGTATTTCATCCTCGCTGTTTTGAAATGCGGCCTTTTTTATATAGTACTTTCATGTGTTTTGAAGTCATCTTCTAAATTTTCTTTTGTGTTTCATTTATCTGTTTATTCACATATCAGTACCAGTGTTTTAATTATTGATGCTGAATAGTTTCTTTTTAGCATCTGGTAAAATAAGTTACCTCCTCATGGCTCTTGTTTTTCAGTTCTCTTTGCTACTCTTACTCTAAGTAAGCCTAAAGGACTTCTTTTCTGCCTCTGAGTGGATTTTTAAAGAATATTTCAGAATTTTATTTGACTGAGCCTCCATGTTGGTGCTATTTAAATAATGTTCATTAAAAAAAATAAAAAATAATTCATTTTTTAGGGAAACTGATCAGTCAGGAAATGTTAAACTGATGGGAAGAAGACAACTACAGAGACCCAAACCCAATTTATCAAGGGCAGTTGGGAAGAAATCTGTTCTTTCACAAGGTAAAACAGATGCGGAGAACAAGAGTTTACGTGCAGAAACTTCAGTTGAAAAGGTATGGAGTAAGACACTTTATAGAAAATAAAATTACAAAAATTTTCCCTAAGTAGTTGGGAATAAACTGTTTAGTTTGTAACTACATGATAATATAACTGATACTAAAACAAAGATACAGGAACACATGAATATTAAATGTGTCTTGTCTCCTGTTTATGCATTTAGAACCTAGGACATATCATTTCAAACATACTCAGTAGTGAAAAATCTCTTTTGTTTACTTATCTAAATTTTTAAAAATTAAAGTATTTTTTTTTTTAAAGATTTTATTTATCTGTTTGAAAGAGCATGAGAGAGCATAAGCAGGGGGAGCGGCAGAGGGAGAGGGAGAAACAGGCTCCCTGCTGAGCAGGGAGCCCAATGTGGGGCTTGATCCCAGGACCCAGGATCACGACCTGAGTCAAAGGCAGACGGTTAATGACCGAGCCACCCAGGCGCCCCTACTTACATAAATTTTGTATTCAAAATGTTTTTAACCAGTTTTCCATCAAATTATATCCGTAGTCCTTTCCACAGACTGACATATTCCTGTCCTTCATAATCTTTGTCTTTCTTTTTATATATGAAAACATTTCTGTAGGTTTTAATCATAACATACATAATATTTAAAACTTTTTTCTGTGAAACTACTCATTAACCTTTTCTTGGGGTTAATCTTTTTAATAGCTGCATCAGGTTAACATAATAATTTACCTAAGCATTTTTCTAATGGTAGACATTTAAATCGTTTCCATTTTTTTAAACTCTCATAAATAAAAGCAAATGGTTTTGTAAGTAGCCCTTTCTTAAGGAAAAAAGCAGAGGATAAATTTCCACAGGAGGTGAGATTAATGAGTCAGAGTGTTTTAAATATTTCTTGGCTTTTGTTATGCATTGTCAAGTGACAGTCAAAAAAAAAAGAATTTATTTACACTGCTACAGGCATTAAACGAATGTTCCTGTTTTTGTATATTTCTGCTGGCATTGTTATAAATTTTTTATTTTTGCTAAAATACATTTTAAAGTGTTAGCTTTTTTCCCTCTTAGGTTAAATACTTTTTATTATACTTCTTGTAATACAATCGTATTATTATAGTCTTGTAAAATTCGACAAAATTGGGAAGCTACAGATTATTGTAAAAATTAAGACAAAAATTACTTGTGATTTCATTATCCAGCTGCAACTAACCTTTTAGCATATATCTTTCCAACTTTTCCTATTACAAAATTTATTAGTATTCAGTTTTGTATCCTTCTTTGGTTCTTAACATTTCTTAAATATTTTTCCATATTATTAAATATTCTTTGAAAACATGGTCTTTAGTGACTTCATAATATTCTGTCAGTGGGTATAACTGAATTTAACCATTTACTCATTATTGGATATTTTGTCTGTTCGCAGTGTTTGGCATTTTATATAATGTTCTAGTAAACATTCTTGTACTTTGTCTGAATATTTACTTAGAGTCTTAGAAATGGTATTACAGTATGAACTTTTTTTTTTTTAAAGATTTTGTTTATTTATTTGACAGAGACACAGCAAGAGAGGGAACACAAGCAGGGGGAGTGGGAGAGGGAGAAGCAGGCTTCCCGCTAAGCAGGGAGCCCGATGCGGGGCTCAATCCCAGGATCCTGGGATCATGACCTGAGCCGAAGGCAGCTGCTTAGCCGACTGAGCCACCCAGGCGCCCCAGTTTATTTCTGAGGGTTAATGTTGACTTGTACTGGGTAGAACCTTGTTTATATGTAGGTATTTGTGTTTTTAGCAGATATTTTCTTAATTATTTGAATTCTGATCTAGGAGGACAATGTTTAGCTCTATCCAGTACTTTAAAGACTCATGGAACTATAGGGAACTTTGTATGTTAGGTAGTCCACATCCCAGACCCTTTCCGTTTGTTTTAGTCACTTGGAAACAGCCCTGGAGATCTTGTTCCTTTTTCCTAAGGTCTCACAGTTTTAGTAGTGACAGAGGCAGGACTCGAGCCTAGGGCCATAAGAGCCTGCTTTGGGGGTCTCCAAGACTACTGTTAGGTTTGATTATTGGCTCAGAGAGTCACAAGATCCAACATATAGTTGTACAAACAGCTGAGATTTGTAACAGTGAAAGGATACGGAATAAAATCAGCAGAGGGAAAGACGTGGCTCCAAGTGGAGGGGAATTTAGGTGCAAGTTTACCAGTCCTCTCTCCTAGAGTCACACAGGTTATGCTTCATTCCTGTAGTAACAAGTCATGATGAGATACATAACAAGTTGTCTACCAGCAAAGCTTGTTAGAAACTCACTATCCAAGGTTTTTATTGGAAGCTGGTCATGTAGACACCCTCTGCCTGGCACATGTCAGAATTCAGAACTCCCAAAACAAAAATAGTTTTTCAGCATAAACCACCTTGTTTGTACAAACATTTTAGGCCACTTTTGTCAGGCTGGTGTGAATTCTTCCCAAGCCCAAGTTTCCAGACACAGCCCAAAGGCCAACCTTTTAAGCAGGACTTTGAAGGGATAGCAGTGAGGCCTGCTACATTAACTCTCTTCTGCACAGAGCAGTCCAATATTTCTTTTTCTGGACCATGATGTCTGTATCATTTTAAACATAGTATTGGTAACTACAAAATTATTTCATTCTTCAGTCATTTACTTACTATACATGGCCCTCAGAGATTAAAATAGATACATTAACGTGATTATTATGTAACAGATGAAAGCATAAGTAAGTCATTGTATCTTAATGTGAGAACTTTTCAGATATATTATTACAAGTCTCAGAATTTAAAAATTACTGTTTATTATTCTGATAAGAGAATCCAGTATTGTCTTCTCAGTTTTAAAATCTTGTTATGACTTTTTTTAACAAAAGTAAATGACACTGAATTTTATTGTTTTTTTAAGATTAGATATTTTTAGAGAAGATGTCTTGATCGACCATGGTTGTGAAGTTAAGTTTGTTTTTGGTTGATGTCTCCATGGTGATCTCTCTTGTTTGGTTTTTTAAACTTAATTTATTGTTTTCATCTTCTTTTTTTTTTTTTAGATTTTATTTATTTGAGAGAGTGAGAATGAGAGAGAGAGCACGAGAGGGGGGAGGTTCAGAGGGAGAAGCAGATTCCCTGCTGAGCAGCGAGCCCCATGTGGGACTCGATTCTGGGACTCCAGGATTATGACCTGAGCTGAAGGCAGTCGCTTAACCAATTGAGCCACCCAGGCGCCCCTTGTTTTCATCTTTTGATACAGTTAACTGTGAATATGCCTTCATAAAAAGGGCACTAGAAATTGTTTAAAAATATTTGTTAAAAAGATTGTACATTGAAAAACAAATGGTGCAGAAAATAAATTTGTTGAATTCTCTTTTGTACCCTGCCCCCAAATCAAATTGTCCAGATTTTCTAGGGATAACCATTAGTAAACTCTTTTATTCAAGTGTATGTGTGTCTTAGAGGATATGTAATTGTTTTTGCTTAATAAAAATGACATCATACTATATATGTTTTCTGCAACTTGAGTTTTTTGTGCAACAATATTTTTTGAAATCTTTCATATTATTACTTATACGCCTACCTCATTATTATTTGTTGTGTGGATTTTTATGGATTTTTATAGCGTAAGTGTACTATAACTTCTTTAGTCATTCCCAGTTGGACGTGTTAGGTTGTCTTCAAATTTTTGCCCAGATATCCTTCAGTATTTATCTTCTCCATCTTTAAGAATTTTTCGTTGGGGCACTTGGGTGGCTCAGTGGGTTAAGCGTCTGCTTTCGGCTCAGGTCATGATCCCAGAGTCCTGGGATCGAGCCCCACGTTGGGCTCCCTGCTCAGCAGGGAGCCTGTTTCTCCCTCTCTCTCTGCCTGCTGCTCCCCCAGTTTGTGCGCTCTCTCTCTGAAATGAATAAAATCTTAAAAAAAGAATTTTTCTGTAGGTTATTTATATGTTTATAACAATATCTTTTATTTTCAAAGTGAAAAAAGTTGCCAGTGAAGGAGGAAATGATGATCCAGATGTGTCTCCGAGCACCAAAATTTCAGACACAGAATCACCTCAAAAGGATGCTCAGATAGTTGAAGAAGAACAACAGTCTCAGACTTTAACAGGACAGGATTCAGAACAGATTGCATTAGAACCAAACCTAAATCAAAAGAAAAGAAGAAGAAAGAATCAGGATGAAGTTGGTAAACAGGAAGTAAAAAATCTTTCAGGAAATGCCACTGTTCAGTTAGGTCATTCTAAAGGAGAAAAATACAAAAGTAAGTTTCTTAAATATATTAATAGTTCCTGTATTACTTGAGAAAATGTGTACTATAGTATGATATGTAATTTAAATACTTCTGAGTAGTAGCAACTAGTAACGTTTAAGTTTTGTATTCTATATTCATGTTACTGTGTTAAATCCTTTTGTTTTTAAAGGAAAGAAGTTTATTGTTGAGGGGTAAAGAAACCAAAGTGAACTGGGGAAATTTTTCTCTAAAGTATGTTTCTGGGGCACTTGGGTGGCTCATTCGGTTAAGCATCCAACTCTTGATTTCAGCTCAGGTCTTGATCTTTTTTTACTTAAAACCAAACAGTGATTAGAAGTCATAACAATGTGTATAGTTAACTGTATAATGCTTGTGTATCTTAATAAATCACAGGTGTTCATGTTCTACCTCTACAGAGCACCTTTGAATCCACAATAAGTTGTTTAATTTTTATAAAAGAGCTACTGAAATCAGTTTCCTTCTTCCTTCCTTCCTTTGATCTTTCTTTCTTCTCTTTCTTTTCTATTTTTTTTATAGCTCCCTTAGAATGCAAGCATTTTGACACCCAGGATTTGCTAGGGAATGAGGGCTAAGAGATTCAGGCATTTTTAGTCTCTTAAGAATTCATATGTAGATTACTTAAAGTAGATAACCAAGTAAATAGAGAAGAAGAAGATAGTAGCAAACCAGAAAAACCTTTCTATAGAATTTAAATTTTATGTAGTTTAGTTTTACCAATATGATTTTAATAAATGAGTCATGGTTATAGCATAGTATAATTTATAGGCATCACAATATTATACTCATTTGTGGTTTTCTGTTAAAGATATTACATAAAAAGCAGAATAGCTCAGTAATTAAGAAGTTGGACTTTGGAAATCAAACAGACCTTGGTTTAGATTCCAGCTTTTTTTGTTTGCTAAATATGACCTTGGGTAAGTCACCTAAGATCTTGAACTCAGGTTCTTTTTTCTCTGATGGGTTTACCACCTTTTAATAGGACTGTTTTCAGTATTAAATAAGATAATGCATTTGATGGGCTTGAGTTTCTGTCACTTAGTAAGTACTAAATAAATGATAGCAGTTACTGTGTTATTAATTATGATTCTCCTGAAGGAGCAGAATAGGCCAGTCTACCTGTAGCTTCCTAACTAGCTATATAGAACAAATTTAACCATTTAAAATTTAAGCAAGATAAAAGGAGAATGCTGTAAACTACCCAGGAAATTTGGACTGATCCTCAAAACACAGTTACAACTTACACAGTTTTAAGTTGATTATCTTTTCATTAATGTTCTAAAATTAAGATCTCGGGCGCCTGGGTGGCTCAGTCGTTAAGCGTCTGCCTTTGGCTCAGGTCATGTTCCCAGGGTTCTGGGATCGAGCCCCGCATCGGGCTCCCTGCTCAGCAGGAAGCCTGCTTCTCCCTCTCCCACTCCCCCTGCTTGTGTTCCCTCTCTCACTGTGTCTCTTTCTGTCAAATAAATAAAATCTTAAAAAATAAATAAAATTAAGATCTCTGCCTTACATATAGGAACTTGAATGTGGAATGGATTAATGATTTATAGGAAAAACACTTTTTTATGTAAATTCCTTTGTGCTTTAAAAAGTAGATGTTTTCATTTTTTAGAATAACATGCATTTTGTATTCATAGATAAAGGTCAGTCTTTAAGGCCTGAGATAAATGAAGATGAAGTCAATAAGGAACAGAAGCTTTCTTGCATACGAAACATGGATGACATTGTGGATTTATCCTCCAGTGAAAAAGCTGAGAAAAGAGCTGACCCTATCCTTTTATCAAGGTATTTTTCTATACCTTTACTGACTTTGTTTACATCTTCTATCAGTTACTGAGAGGGGAGTGTGAAGTCTCCAACTGTAATTATGAATTTGCCTGCTACTCTTTTCAGTTCTATTTGTTTTTCTTCATGTCTTTTGAAGCTCGTTAGGTGCATGCATATCTAGAATTGTTGTATCTTGGTGAAATCACCCTTTTATCATTTGTGTGTATCATTCTGATATTTCTCTTTGTTCTGATGATTACTTTGCTATAGCTGTCTTGTGGTTAATGTTTGCATGGGTTTCTTTTTTCTTTTTTTTTGGTGGGGGGAGAGAGCAAGCATGGGGGGGGCAGGGTAGGGGCAGAGAGAGGGGGACAGAGAATCCCAAGCAGGCTCCACTCTCAGGATGGAGCCCGACACAAGGCTCAGTCTCACAACCCTGAGATCATGATCTGAGCCGAAATCAGGAGTGGGACGCTTAACCAGCTGAGCCACCCAGGCGCCCCTGACTGGCTTATTTCACCTAGCATAATGTTTTCAGGTTTCATCTGTGTTGCAGCATTTGACAGTATTTCCTTTTTTTTTAATGGCCAAATAATAGTCCATTGTGTGCATATATCACATTTTCTTCATTCATCTCTCAGTGAACATTTAGGCTGTTTAGTTTTTTTAAAGCTTTATTTATTTGACAGAGAACACAGCGAGAGAGGGAACACAAGCAGGGGGAGTGGGAGAGGGAGAAGCAGGCTTCCTGCCGAACAGGGAGCCCGATGTGGGGCTCAATCCCAGGACCTCGGGACCATGACCTGAGCCAAAGGCAGACGCTTAACCCCTGAGCCACCCAGGCACCCCTCTCTTGGCTATTTTAAATAAACATTGGAATGTAGATATCTGTTTGAGGTCCTGTTTTCATTTCTTACAGAAAAATACCCAGAAGAGGGATTGCTGAATCATATGATAGCTCTATTAATTTTTTTTTGACATTTTATTTTTTTTTTAGGTAATCTGCCCCCAGTGTGGGGCTCAAACTCACAACTCTGAGATCAAGAGTCACATGCTTTACTGAATGAGCCAGCCAGACACCCCTCTATTTTTAACTTTTTGAGGAGCCTCCCTACTTCACAGTGGCTGTGCTATTTTATCTTCCCATCAGCAGTGCACAAAGATACCAGTTTTCCATATGCTCACCAACACTTATTTTCTTTTTTCTTTGTTTTGAAAATGGTTATTCAGACATACGTGAGATGATACTTCATTGTGGTTTTGATTCGCATTTCCCTAAGTGATATTGAGGATCTTTACATATACTTATTGGCTTTTGTCTGCTTTGGAGAAATGTCTGTTATTTCCTTTTCATGTTTTTTAATTAGGTTATTTTAATTGAATTATAGGCATTCCTTTTATATTTTGGATATTAAGCTTGTGTCAGATATATGGTTTACAAATATTTTTTCCCATTCCATAGGTTGTTATTTGACCTTGTTGATTATTTCCTTTGCTCTGCTGAAGCTTTTTAGTTTGATACTGTCCCACTTGTCTATTTGTGCTAGTTTGTTCATACAATTCGGAAGATTAATAGTTTCTTTGAAGCTGAGCCCATGGACCTTGGGTCCTTAATTTGCTAGGTGACAGAATTTAAATTGTGACTTCAGAGATACAACTAATTTCATAAACTATACATAAAAGGTACTATGGCTTTTTTAGGGGAAAAACAACCCTGTAATGACTGTTAAGATCCTAACTGGTTTTGTAAAACAGTGAGCCGATTCTAAAATTATTAATTACACAAGAGCAAAGAGTCATGAGTGGTAAAGACAACTTGAAAAACAACATTTCTGGGGAGGAAGTATATTAATACTTTAAGCTAGAGTAATTAGTGTGTTACTGGCACAGGGACAGATTGACTCAGCAGAACTGAATATAAAGCCTACGGGGAAAAATTTAGGAATCTGATAAATAGCAAAGGTAGCATTAGAAATTAGTGGGTCAAGATTGAATGAAATATTCATTAGATGGGTAGATCTATCTAATATTAGATAGTATTAGATCCTTATTTCACCCTCTATGCTAAATTTCTGATAGATTAAAGGCTACAGGGACACTGGGTGGCTCAGTCGGTTAAGCATCTACCTTTGGCCCAGGTCATGATCCCAGGGTCCTAGGATCAAGTCCCTCATTGGACTCCTTGCTTAGCAGGGAGCCTGCTTCTCCCTTTGCCTGCCACTCCCCCTGCTTGTGTGCACTCCCTCTCTTTCTCTGATAAATAAATAAATAAATACATAAATAAAAAAAATAAAATCATGTGTAAAGCAAATCTTGAAAACTGTTAGAAAAAAGTGTTTGGAAATACCTTTGTGATGTCAAGGATTTCTTCACTTGATCTTAGCCAAAAGGCCGTGAAACGATGATGATGTCAAGGATTTCTTAAGATGTAAAAAGCAAAACTTTAAAAGATACAATTGATGAATTTGACTGCAGTAAACATAACTATTTCTTTTGATAAAAGATCTCATAAAGAACGTGAAAGGCATACTACTGATTGGGAGGTTTTATGTATAATATCTAACCAAAAAATAATATATAAAGAGCTCTTATTGATTAGTTGGGAAAAGACAAACACCCAGTAGAAAAAAATGAGGGGAAAAACAAGATCTAGTTAAATGTCTTATGTGTTCATTCTGGGTGCCAGTTAGTACATGGCCATGATTTATGGTATTATTAGTTGGATATTTCATAATACGGCAGTCTTCTCTTGGCATACAGTGCTAACTGCAGCTTATGCAAAGCAGTACCATGCAAAGCAGGGCCTGCCTGTGTAAGATTTTGATGAGAGATTATTCCTAAATATTGCTCTGATTTTACACATAGATTTATCAACCCCATGTAATTAAGAATTTTTCATTTTGACTTCTTGAGTGTTTTCCTATGCCTTTTGATTTGTGGCTACTCTTTCTCTGTAGGTACAGTTTTTTTTGTTGTTTGTTTGGTTTTGAGAGAGAGGAAGTGTATGCGAGTGGGGAGAGAGGGGCAGAGGGAGGGGAAGAGAGAATCTTTTTTTTTTTTTTTTTAAGATTTTATTTATTTATTTA